TATTATGAGAGCTTGTTTTTTTTTACTTCTCTTACTTTGAGGACACACACTCACTCACAGACACACACAGACACACACACACACACACACACACACACACACACACACACACACACAGAGACAACACACACTTTGTTATTCTGTTGGGAAACAGGAAGTAGACTGGCAGCTAGGTTCCCATGAAATCATAATGTGTGTGTGAGTGTGTGCGTGTGTGTGTGTGTGTGTGTGTTTGTGTGTGTGTGTGTGTGTGTTTGTGTGTGTGTACATCATGTAGGTCAGTGCTCTCTGTCACAGAGCATGTGAGGTCAAGGGGGGAGTTACTTGTACATGAAACACAAACACTTAAAGGCCAAAAGGACACACGCACACACACACACACACACACACACACACACACACAGGCAGGATATAACGTGTGTTCTTTAATGCATGTGTTTATTGTGTATATGTGGTGTGTATTCATAGCTTTTTGTCACGTGACCAGCGTGGATGGCTGGAGGGCAACAATTTTAGGGCATTTTATACAACATTTTCTATAAACCACACATAATTGTCACCTGAAGTAAAACACAGATATTAAAATAAATCCCTCATAGCACGCTGGACACTATTTAAATCTTATAGATGAAGTGAAATGCAAGAACTGGAAAACTAGTCGTCACTAAGGCCGGGCCATAGAGCACAGGAGTCTCTAAGTCCTGCTTGTGTCACACACAAAACAAAAACCCTCACAGAAGTTCTTCTCGCTTATGTTAAACAACCACACAGATCAATATTTGACAATATTAACAAATCACACGCTTCAGGATAATAATATGTATGTGTCAAAGTACCACTTTAACTGACACCTCTCTGTATGCTTTGCAGTAAAAAGATGATGATGATGATTGGACCCATTAGTTATCTGTGAACATAAGTGTGCTAGCTTAAATTAGCTTTAAGGGTACTTTATGGGTACTGACGCTAAGAAACATCATCTGAAGCTCAGGCGTCATCACTGACTCATCTTGGCTATCATAGTCCCCCTCTGGGCCTTACATCAGAACCAACAGTAGGAGCTAATAAGATTTCTCTCCTGATTGTCAGAAGAATAAATTCTACTGAAGTCTAAAATATTAGAAACAGGCTTTTAAAGATTTCAAGAGGATAAAAGAGGCAAAATAAAGTCCTCGTTGGTTTTACGGATTAAAGAGTGACCATGTTATCTGGTGACTTTCAGCTGAATGTGTCTGTTGTTGTCAGACATGATGTATCCTCTTCCTCTCTAACCTCCCATAGTAAATTTAGAGACCGTAGGTACCACGAGCAGGCCTGATAACTGACATCAGGTGACTGTTACTGTGTGTTTGTGAGCATGTGTGTGCGTGTATGTGTGTGTGTGTGTGTGTGTGTGTGTGTGTGTGTGTGTGTGTGTGTGTGTGTGTGTGTGTGTGTGCGCGCGCGTGTGTGTATGTGTATGTGTGTGTGTGTGTGTTTGTGTGTGTGTGTGGGTGTGGGTGTTTGTGAGTGAGTGTGTGTGTGTGTGTGTGTGTGTGTGTGTGTGTGTGTGTCTGTAGAAACAAAGAGAGTTTGTGTTCTGCCCTATATTTATTATTGTCTTTGTTTCCTCAGGGTCACTGTGCGGTCACTGCACTGAATAGCTCTGCAGCTTTAATTATTCACACTTAAACACCAACATCACACAAACAAACACACACACACACGCACGCACGTATCCAGTATCAGTCCAGTAGCAGGAGTGTTACAGGTGAAAGCTGTGATTTTTTAGATTTTCTCCTCTCAGTTTGTGTCAGTTTGAACTCTGTGTGGACCCTCAGTGTGTGTCTGTGTGTGACTGTGAGCTCAGTTGAGGTTCATTATTGGTTGATGAAGTTGTCGTCTCCCTCTTTAGTCTCAGCTGTGCGCTCTGCTCAAGACGATATAAAGAGCGACGCTGCAGTTTGTGAGAAAATACAACCAGTGAGTTTCCCGTTGTTTGTATTTCAATATGAAAAATAAAATTATGAAAATATATAGTTCATATGTAAACAGCATACATTGGAATAAATGTTATTTTAGCTTTTTACTTATTTTTTCCTCATGTATGTTCATTGTGTTTAACGTACGATTATACTGTAACCATGGTTACAGTATTATAAAGTGTGTGAATGTAGTCAGACCATTTAGTCCCAGGATGTGACTGGGGAAAAAGATGATTGTTATTGTAAATCTTTAGTGTGGAGCTTACTGCATTATTATAATTATTATGATATATAGTATTCTTATTATTTTACAGCTTGAAACCAAAAAGTGTTTCTTTGTGGGTTTACTGTCCAAATATCAGTCCATCAACGACAACCACTCCTCTCTGTGCAGACACTCTTATCTGACGGCTGAGTGTGTGTGTGTGTGTATGGGTGTGTGTACGTGGGCGTGTGTGTGTGAGAGAGAGGTTATCACATTGTCTAGACCTCTCCGACATGTCAGTAACAATCACACTGTTGCACACCCACACATACACACACACGCGCGCACACACACCGTGTGTGTGTCTGTGACTTCTGCAGCCAGCTTCTAGTGGACACTTGATGAACTGCAGTTGTTTTTGCTGAAGGATTCTGGTTGGTAAAAACATTAATGTGATAAATGTTGAACTGTTTCATGTTGCTTATAATTTTCTGTGCAGATAACTCAATTCTGTATTGTTAAATGTGCTGAAAGAGCAGCTGCTCTGTTGGAGTCAGATTGTGTTTATGTTCGATCAGTGAGTGATAAACATAATCACACATAGACATGAGTAAGAAGAAGCCTCATCGTCAGCCAATCGGATGGCAGCGAGCTTTAATGTGCTGATGAAACACACGGAGAAGATTTCCCGTTGAGCAGTGTCTCAGTCTGAGCTCGCCATATCTACGTCCTGTTCAGATGATGTCTTTGTGTGAAAGTCATTTTTTATAACACGAGTTCTTTGACAGTTTTTATCAGGATGATGAAATGTGTGTCAACCTGTTCAGGCTCTAACTCGTCAGCAGCTCGCTCTCTCTCTGCAGCTGTTTGACCCACTTCTTCAAAACATTCATGAAACTTTCTTCTTCTGCACATTAACATGGAGGAGAGCAGTGACTCTGAATTCTGCTTCAATGTTTCATCAATTAAATCCTAAAAACTGAACAACAGACTACACTGTAAAACATTAGACAAACATTTAACAACAAACAAAAACTAACTGTGTGTGTGTGTGAGAGACAGAGTCCAGCTGTTTGGTGATCTGGACATCAACAAGGGAGTCAGAGATCACTGGGGGAAAGGAGAGAGGAGGGGGAGGGGGAGGAGGTGACACTTACATTGGAGTTTTGAGACTGTATGAATCTGTGTGTGTGTGTGTGTGTGTGTGTGTGTGTGTGAGATGATGATGTCCCTGATGTTGACCCTTGGTCTGATGTGAACAGACTCTCAGTGAACGAGAGGAAAACTAATAATTGTTCATGTGGAGGAAACAAACTGGGAGACAATAGATCAGCTGAAGGATTTTTCTCTCTGCGTCTCAGCAGCTTCAACAGGCAGGAAGGAAACTCACAGCGTTCCCACAACACAGAAGAATGAGGGGAAGTAGGCGGAGCCAAAACGAGAGGACTCCGAGTGCTCACAGGGAATAAACCACCACGCTGATTTATAGTTATTTAAAGTTTTATAGTGACCAACACACACACACCAACACATATACACACACACAGACACACACACCAACACACATACACACACACACACACACCAACACATATACACACACACAGACACACACACCAACACACATACACACACACAGACACACACATACACACACACACCCACAAACACCCACATACATACATACACACACCCATGCGCACACGCACAGAAACACACATTCCATGGCGTTCCCAGGCCAGGCTGGTTCATAATTCCTCCAGCGAGCTCTGACGCATCCTAATCAGCTCATGACCACAGGTGAGGGTTGGAACGTAGATCGACCGGTAAATCGAAAGCTTTGGCTTCCAACTCAGCTCCCTCTTCACCACACCGATCACTGGGCCCCCAATACTGCTGACGCTGCACCAATCCACCTGTCAATCTCACTGTCCATCTGACCCTCACTCATGAACAAGACCCCTGGATATTGAACTGCACATGCAGCCACAGGCGCACCTAGCTGTTTTTTCCTCAGATATGCTCAGAGACGTTTTTGGAGCTGCACAACCTTTCTCTGTGTGATGGCACCTAAGGTGAAAAGCTCACAGGTTAGCGTTCTCAGAGGTAAACTACTTTGAATGATGATGATCTTTCTTGTTGGTTCAATGGACACAGACTGAAGATGACTCTGAGTTAAACAGTGAAACAGGAGCTCACATTAGTTTAGATCAACATGAACACAAACAGGTCACAACGTGTTTGTTAATGTAATAAGGAGAAAAAGTTTTTAGACTGAGAGTTTTAATGGAGGAACCTTCAGTCTGAGGACTGATGAACATGAACTCAGTTAAAGTCAGTGTGTTTATAGATACAGCATACAGATCTGTACAGTGTGAGTATGAACAATATTTCAATAGTTTGTATAAGTTACAGTGTTATAAAACTGTCTTTGGTTCTGTTCCAGTCCAACAGTTCATCGAGCAACAACACTTATCAAACCTGCAGAATCAAAATCCAGTCCATATTTGGTTCCATTTCATATCCGAGTCCAACACAGTCTCATGTCAATCAGACGAGTCCTAAACAGTCTCATGTAAATCAGACGAGTCCAACACAGTCTCATGTCAATCAGACGAGTCCACACAGTCCACACAGAGGCAAACAGCTAGATCTTCCAGAATCACAAAACCACCTTAAAGCTGAGTTTGAATCCGGTTCTTTACATCTGTAAACAAATGTTTTTGATTGCGCGAGAATCTGACATGCCGTCACTAGTTTTAAATTACTGACGATATGACGATGACCACAAACTGATTATTAATAAACGTAATCAAAAATGAAACTTTGGAGGATTCTCGCTTCCTGTGGATGGACAGCGGCTCTCTGTATCTTCCTGTTTACTGTCTTTACATGTTTGTTTTGAAGTATAAGATTTAAAGCAGCACAGATTGTGTTGATAGAGTGTCAGAATATAAAATATTAAACATCATATATTAATTTATAAAAGATAAACACATCACTTTGGTCTTTGTCACATCAGTTTCACATCTTTTTTTGCACAACTGAAAACTTTGTACAGTCTGATTTTAGAGCATTTTCCTCTGATGCTAAGCTAACAAATCGCTCCTCTTGCTGCACCAAACCACCACAGCGATCATGGCCAATGTGAGGAACACCGGGATTAGGATGAGGAGAGTGAGCGTTTCGTTGGGCGGGTCCACCAATTCCATCGGTTTGTTGGTGCAGTTGGAGAAAAAGGTCTTGTGTATGCGGATGATGTAGCTCTCTACCAGAGGATTGGGCCAATAACACTCAACGCCCTTCGACTTGGTCTCTGTGCAGAGGCTGAAGAGGTTGTACTCACTGAGGAGAGAGAGAGGGGGAGGCCGGGAGAGAGAGGGTTAACAGAGAATCTTACTGCAGTTCTACTCCTCGTGCTCACCGTCGGAGAGGTTCTAATTGTTGTTGCTGATCCTGAAAATCAGAGAAACAACAAAACATACATCACTTTTAAACAAACTGATTTATTAATCTGATAAATATTTATTTATTTAAGTTCTTTCACACACTTTCACTAAACTCCTGAAAAACTCCTTAAGTTTAGGGTTAGAGTTTCTCCTCCGGCCTCCTCGTATTTATTCTGCAGAAAGTCAGAGTGATCTGATGTGAGAACACAGCAGGATATAATCAGGAGAATTCACCTGGAGCCAGTGGGAAGGGGTGGTGATGTTTATTTCCTGTGATCGCTGCACAACCATAGACTGTCTGCACGCCACCTCTACCATCTCCGTGCTCTAATGAACCTGCTGCTGCATGTTTCCTGTTCTCCAGTATTTTCTTCTCCACTCTTTAGTTCACATTGAGATTCTCTTCAACTACACGTAGCATTGATAGAAAGACAAATATTCACATTACAGCGTTGTATAGACGACTCTGATGCTTCGTATGTCATTTCTACATCGTTCTTTTGATGTCACGTCTTACCTCAGGAGACCCCGCCTCCCCGCCAACTATACACACCCACACAAGTTGCCTTTAGTGTGTGTGTGTTTATGAATAGTTTCAACATTAACGGTCACACTGGCTGAGTGTTTGGCTGCAGCTCACTCTGTGTGTGTGTGTGTGTGTGTGTGTGTGTGTGTGTGTGAGGGAAGTTTGGGTCACTGCTTGTATAAACACTAGGCCTCTCGATCCCACAGTATCTCCCCCACACACCCTTCACTCTCTCTCCCTCTCTACCCCCTCCCCCCATCTCCCCCTCTTAGGCTGCTGAAGTGTTGAACTTATACATTTTTTAACTGTTACTGTAAATTGTGAACTGTTTACACGTTTTCTGAACATGAATTAGTTTTTTATTGGTCAGTAATTAAATCAAATCAAAGACGAACTCGAAGACGAAAAAGAAAGAACAGAAAACTTTTTTTTTATCTGAAACTGACCTGTTGCCAAGCAAACCAAACATCGTCCTGCACTATGACTGTTCGTTTCCATGATAACCGGTGGTCAGTTTCTTGTACATGAATGTTTGAATGTATCAGAGTTGAATCAGAGTCTGTTGCATTGGTCATGAACACTCGCTGTCTGCTGTTCTCAGAACACCTGCTGAGGCGGAGTGATACACTGGGTGAGAAGCCCCAGTGATGTAATTTCATCAACTGATTTAATCCCACCATCATCATCATTACCATCATCATCATCATCATCATCATCATCATCACCTTCATCACCATCACCATCACTGTCACCATCATCATCATCATCACCATCAACACCACCATCATCATCATCATCATCATCATCACCACCATCATCATCATCATCATCATCATCATCATCATCATCACCATCACCATCATCACATCATCATCACCTTCATCACCATCATCATCACCATCATCATCACCACCATCATCATCACCATCATCATCATCATCACCACCATCATCCCCATCATCATCACCACCATCATCATCATCATCATCATCACCTTCATCACCATAATCATCACCACCACCACCATCACCACCTTCATCACCATCACCATCACAACCATCATCCCCATCATCACCACCACCATCACCACCATCATCATCATCATCACCTTCATCACCATCACCACCATCATCCCCATCATCACCACCACCATCATCATCATCATCACCTTCATCACCATAATCATCACCACCACCACCATCATCTCCATCATCACCATCATCATCACCACCATCATCACCATGATCACCTTCATCACCATCATCATCATCACCACCACCATCACCACCTTCATCACCATCACCATCACCATCACCACCATAATCATCACCACCACCACCATCATCATCATCACCATCATCAACATCATCACCATCATCACTATCATCACCACCATCACCATCATCATCATCACCATCATCACCACCACCACCACCATCATCACCTTCATCACCACCACCATCATCACCTTCATCACCATCATCATCATCACCACCACCATCACCACTTTCATCACCATCACAATCACCATCATCATCACCATCACCATCATCACCATCACCACCATCATCATCATCATCATCATCATCACCACCACCACCATCACCACCTTCATCACCATCACCATCATCACCACCAAAATCATCACCACCACCACCATCATCATCATCACCATCATCACCATCATCACCACCACCATCATCATCATCATCATCATCATCACCATCATCACCACCACCACCACCACCATCATCATCACCATCATCACCATCATCACCAGCTAAGCTGCAAAAAGGACAGATTTAAAAATACTTTTTACCTCCTGCAATTGCACTTTATAACGACTCCCCTTTAAGTTGGGACAGAAGACATTTAAACTTTTAAACTTTAGCCTGAGTTGCATATATCATATATCAAACTGTATTGTGGGCTCATGTTTTTTGTATGGGTGGGATACGTATGTATATATGTGTTGGTTTGTGTTGCGTGTTTGTATGTATGCTGGCTGCTGGAACACCTACATTTCCCTGCTGGGATGAATAAAGTATATCTTATCTTATCTTATCTTATCACCATCATCATCATCATCACCATCATCATCACCACCATCATCATCATCACCATCATCATCATCACCATCACCATCACCATCATTATTACCACCACCATCATCATCATCACCATCATCATCATCACCATCACCATCACCATCATCATCATCATCACCATCACCATCATCAACACCTTCACCACCATCATCATCATCATCATCATCATCACCATCATCAACACCTTCACCACCATCACCCTCATCATCATCATCATCACTAACCCAGACACTGTCTGTCGGCCCTGTAGGCCCACCAGCCGCAGGGTAATAAACATAAAGGAGCTGCGTACCTGATGAAGTGTGTGAGGTTACACCAGAATTTAGGATCCACGTGGTCCATGTTTCTCTTAAAGTCGTCTCCACACACCTCCACCTCCCACTGCAGACGAGACTCATTACACATCCACCTGTGAGGGGGTGGAGGCGTCACACTGTCTGCCCCTGGACGTAGAGGAGAATAGGAGGAGGAGCAAAAGAAGAAGAGGACGCAGAACAAAGAAGAAAGAGTTAATTTAAAAAACAAAACAAATGAAACAGTTTGATGAACTGACTGATTGATCAATTGATACTTGATCATGAGCTCACCTGTTAAATCTCTCATCATTGACACATTTGCTGTAAACAAAAGAAAGAGTGTTGGATTAAAACATTAAAGACAGAATGTGCATCATGTTACACATAAATAAATCATATATCCAGTCTCTCCTGTGTAAATGTGTCTCTGAGTCGTGACTGTCTACAATGAGTGAGAAGCTCGAGTCCCGCTGGCTGTGTTGTTGTCAAAGCCGTGTTTACATGGACGGGACGGCCGGCTCCTCCCCTTGTGTATAAAAGCTGTTTTAGTCAAGGACTAGAGAGAAGAAGAACATACTCACTGGTGTCAGTTTACATGCAATGTGAAGGTACGAGCTAACTACGGGAAGAAAAAATACACTCTGCAGGAAGTTCATCAGATTCTCTCCATGTGGGCTTCTAAACTTAGCATGTTGCTAAAATTAGCACAACGCTAACAGGTTGCAATCATTAGCTTCATGCAAAACAAATTATTTCAGGGTTCAAACAGGAAGTGAGGACGATCGTTTCTTCTGTTCAGATCTAACCGGAGCTCTTTCCAATAAATCGGATGAATGTAGAAGGAGAAGAAGAGATCATCTATCATTGTGTGGACTTTAGGATTTCCTCATCTTCAGATATGTTTTTCAGTGGTGTTGAGGATTGAAGGAGCCCCAATACTTTCATTATTTCTGCTCACTAAAGTTATAAAAGTATTTATAAAAAATCTAAACTCGTTAACAACATTCAAAGCTTGTTGTTGACAATTGAGAACATTTGTAGTTAAAACAGAGTCTGCGGCTCATTTTCATTTTCAAACACCATCAAACATTATCCAGGAACAACCCCCATCTGTCTGCAGACCCCCCCCCCCCCTGTTTGAACCCCCCCTCCCCTTCACCATCTGCAGGAAAACAAGAGAAGATCAGTGAGAACGTCTGCAGGAAGTGTTTGTTTGTTTGAGCTGCAGGAGGACACAGAGGGAAAGATCTTATTTTAAGGCAGAGGTCACGTTTGAACAACGTCACTCTGAATGTTTCCATACACAGGGAAGTGGAGCTATACAGTTACATCTCATAATCCCATTTCATTGTTCTACTGTTCTTGTCCCAGTATACAAGCACTGAGAGAGAATCCATTCATTGACAGAAGTATGTCTGACTCCTCTACAGTAGGGGGCGATATGCCCCCTTTCAGCCCCTTTGACCTGTTATGTCACAAACCAAACAATCGGTTCCAATTTTCTGTGTGTGTCCTTGTGAACCTGGGACCTATGTTAATGGAGCAAATGCTCCTGGTAGGTTCTCCTCAGTCCAAGTGGTCCCAGGGAAGGTCCAGACTAAGAGCGTTTCGAATAACCTCATGACTCGCCTTGATCAGGCTTGATCAGAACTTGGAATGAGCTCGGTCCTCTGGAACAAACAAGTCAGTGAGCACATCCTTTGGGAGCCTCTGGTTGGAGACCTGGAAGGGGTTCCAGTTGGGGACTCTGAAGTTCTGCTGGGGAAGCCCACCTGGGCAATGATGAAGAAATATGGAGGGGGGGTGATTTGGAGGAACAGCCTGCCCAACCTGTCAGGTGTTGTGTTAATTGGACTTCAGTGTTAATGATCAGATCTGGGGCAATAAGTTCTGGACACTTGGGTGATGAGAGGAGCAGAGCTGTCAGCCGATCACCACCTGGTGGTGAGTTTGAACTTGGTAAATGAACTTGAGGATGTATAGCTCTTTTCTAGTCTTCTGATTACATAAAGCACTTAAACACTGCAGGTCACACATAGACATTCACACACTGATGGCTGCTGTGTAAAAAGTCCATCAGTATTAACTCATCCATTCATACACATTCACACACTGATGGTAGAGGCATAGGACCAGAGGACCGTATGGAGTCCGTATGGAGTGTCCACTCTTTCTATGATATATGTAAAGGTGTGTCAGTCTGGAGATTTAGGGACCCCTCCATCACTCAGCCTTTATATTATTATTAAAGATATAACCTGTATTACATATTATTATATTATTACACATAGAAACACAGAGCTCTGAGTTATAACTTAAATCACATATTACACACATAGAGTCTAACCCTACAGATCTGAGGCTGCAGAGGGACGGCCATATGAATCATTCTAAACACAGATATATCAGATAGTCTGTAACAACCGAACTGTATGAACACGCCGACAGTGACACCTCAGTCACTCACGTTAACACCGTGAAAAATAATCGATGATCGATACTCACCCACAAACACAACCATGAAAAGTTTGAGGACGGCGGACTCCCGAAGATCCATGACGCTGAGAGATCCGGGAGGACTCGGAATGAAAGATCAGCTGCAGCTCCGCAGAAAACAGCATTTAAAACGAACCATCGTCAGATTATTCCAAATGATCGAGTCCGAGTCCGAGTCACGACGAGTCCAAACCAACCAAAGATTGATTCAGACCCCAAAACAGCGTAAATATCTGATCCCAGAGCGAGATTTCAGCCTCCTCTCGTGATGGTCGCGTCTCTGTCCGCGCTCAGCAACACACACATTGCCTGCCCCGCATCCTCCGAGCGGGGGGGGAAGCAGGGGGGGGCGCCTCTCTGTACCTTCCACACGGATTACATTTGTCATAATCTCGCTCCATCTGCAGGTTTGGAGACACGACACAAACATGAAAACAAATGACGTCACATTTTATAAAAACATTTCACGACTTCTGTAAATATAAAGGCACATGGCTGTTGAATAATTATACTATTATTTGATTTTCTGTAGATTAAAAGAAACAGTCACTGATCTGCTGTCTGGCATCAAATGATTTTCTGAAGCAACACTGATCTCCTGTGGTGTGATGTAGAATTACACCTCCATGGATTCAAGATGGTTAATACATAGAAACTTCATTGAGATGTCATGTCTGCCTTGATTCCCTGAGCTCAATTAGGAGCAACAATAATCACCTGTGCTGGCTGCGGCAATCAGCCACAGGTGAATGACATCCCCAAATCAGGTCTCCCATAAAGGGAAGGAGAGTTCATTACTCAATTTGCTCTCCAGAGGACAAGACCTGTTTCACCTTTCTTTGCCGAGTGCGCCCACATGTGAGTTATTGTTTTAGTAAGTGAGTTTAGTGATCATGTTTGATTATGATGCAGAGGCAGACTTGATTTATTGTTTAATTGATACATCCTCTGTTTACTGAGCCTGTTTAGAATTATTAAACATTATTTGGTTAACGAGGCAAATCAATTATTGTCACATTTTGTCTCCAAAACAGAAAAAAAAACACTGGACAAATTAAGGAACAACTGTGCTAATAAAAACCTTAAAGTGGAATCATTCTCGCTGCCTTCATTTCCAGGACTCAACTCGTATTTTGATGTCAATGAGCTTCAGCCCTCAACATTTAGGTTACACCTAAAACAATGGTCCTTTGAGCCGGAGAGGCGTTCAAGCATAACAATGAGTGAGGATAACCCAAGATGATGTCTCTGAACTAACTGGCCTACACATGCAACATGGAGCAGTTTCTGCTTCTCAGATTGATAAAGGTGCCAGGCATGAGACAACATTAGAACGTGGGCGTGCTAGGACAAGACGAGCCCTGACCTACTTTAAGGACTATGTGACAGATTCCACAGGTTGGCTGCATGCAGACAGAGACGAGCCTGCTCACCTACAAGCAGAAGAACACAGAATTGAACAGAACAGTTCAAAGCACAGCGCCTTCTCCTCTTCCTCTTTGCAGAGCTGAGGTGCCATTCAGTCCTTAAAAGAGGCTCTGGACCCGATCCAAAAGGCTAAATTGGAGATGAAACTTAAAGGTATGGAACTGGATGAGTTCTTTAAACAACAGGAGGAGCAGGAACATGCAGAAACTTAATACAGGAAAATGGATGACCAGGCCCGTGAGGCTATCCGGTCCCGAGAGGTTTTAACAACAAAGCTGTCCAGAGCTAGTAGGCTCAGGCACCTAGAAAGAGAATATGAGGAGGTTAAACTAATAACATCTCTACTGCAGGGGGAGAAAACTGACACTGGTCAGGTAGAAGAAGACAGGTAGAACTCCCGAGCCCATTCTTTCCCTTTATCTGCTGTGTATGGAGCTGAAGGAGGTTCCTCTGTGGCAAAGCAGCATCTCCTCCTATCACCTGGTAGGAGTGTTCAGGCCATCTGGCAAAATGATCCAGATCAATGGAGAGGAAAGGAGGAATCTTCAACTATACAACTATTATTTTATTTTCTGTAGCTTAAAAGAAACAATCACTGGTCTGGCATGAAATGATTTTCTGAAGCAACACTGACCTCCTGTGGTGTGATGTAGAATTACACATCGCTGGATTCAAGATGGTTAATAGAAACTTGATTGAGGTGTATATGGTGGGCGGGGTTTTTTGTGTTTGATATTCCGCTCTACATTGAAGCAATAAGCCCTTTAATACATAAATGATTGACTCACTTTATGATGTAATAAAATGATTACACTGTTATTTTGCCTGCTCCATAATTGAATAACTGACCCAAAATTTAAGGCAACAAGTTATTACGTTTTGGGCTCAGCATCTTTGTTACATTATCGACCAGTTACTACATTTAGAGTTTTATTACATTTCGGGCTGTTACAGGGCAGCCAGGTGGTGACGGTTCACCTTTGTGCAGCTGTTGAACTTTGACCTCTGTTGTCACCCGGACATGATGCCGTCCTCTTCAGGTCAGTGTGTGAGTTTGATCTGAACCGAGTGCTCGGTGGTCTTGGTGAGGTTGTGCCGTTCCCCTCAGTGAGGCTGGGCCGTTTTACATGATGTCAACAAGTGACGCAGCTCAGTGTGAGCTCAGCGCGGAGACGCCTCATTCCGGAGCAGCAGGAGCGCGGACAGCAGCTTCACGGTATGTCTACACGTCTTTCAGCTGCTTCTTGACGAAACTCCCGGTTATTATTAATGTTTGTGTTTCCTAAATACATGTTTAAATTATCCGATAACTTTTAATGTCTCCGTTTGCTTCGTTGGAAACTTATCCTCCGAGCTGCGAGCTGTTCTGGATAAAGGGTAGGAATCCACGCCGGACTGCTTTTACAATTCTATAAATTCAAAGTTTGATCAAATATTGAGCTGAGTCACTGACGCAAGGAAACATGTCACGGTGCAGGATGTTCATCAGCTCTTGCAAGTGATTTCGGCACATTTTCCACTTAGATTACGTGTGTGTGTGTGTGTGTGTGTGTGTGAGAGACACACGCTGTAAACATTAAACACACACAGCTCTTGTGTGCTCTGTTCTTTATGAGAATGACTACCTGTAAAGCAGGCGTACAGGTAAAGTGCTGTATGTACACCTGGACCACATGTACAGGCGTATGGGCAAAGTGCTCACCTGGCAGGTGTGTCAGCAAAAAGAACAAGTCTCACTCTGCTCGTTTAGTCTTTTTCTGCTGCAGTATTTACAACATGTTTGTTAGAGCTGATACACACCCACCCTGCTCCGAGCTTATGTAAGTGTTAGCTGGCAGAGAACACACACACACCCACACACTCACACACGTAGGAGGACGCACACACCACACTCTGTCTGTCTTCCTCCCTCTCTCTTTCTCTTTCTCTCCCTCCCTCCCTCTCTCTGTCAGGTCAGGTCATGTTTCGATTAAAGACATAATGATGATGAAGACTCTGCCCTGAAGGTTGGGAGGAGAGACTCAACGATTTATTAAAAGATTAAAGAACACCAACAGTTATATAAAAAAAATATATCCTCTTCGTCACGTTATCCTCTTCATCACACAGACCTTGCACAACGTGAGGCCCCCAATTCCTCTATACCCCACCTGGACGACCTCACAGCTCTACAGCCGCTCATAACCAGCTCCTGGTATTTGAGCTGTGCGGTCCCCCTAGGGGACGGTCAGCTCTATTAGGAGCACCAAACCTGGCCTCAATGAAGTTGCTGTGATGTGGTCTGGGGAACTTGAGTTGCCTGCCCGAATCAACTCAGAGCTCCGGTTGGGACGCAGAGTTGAGCATGCTGGCTGCTCTCCTGCTCTGACCAAGTTCTGACCTGTTTGTAATTAACCACTACTTTGAGCACCTGGTGGTGCCGTCAGGTGTAGCGGGCTGTTTGGCAGCAGTAAGGTACAGTGGGTCTTTACTCAGCAGCCTCTACCATCAGCGTGTGAATGTGTATGAATGGATGAGTTAATACTGATGGACTCTTGACTCAGCGGCCTCTACCATCAGTGTGTGAATGTGTATGAATGGATGAGTTAATACTGATGGACTCTTTACTCAGCAGCCTCTACCATCAGCGTGTGAATGTGTATGTGTGACCTGCGGTGTAAAAGTGCTTTGAGTAGTCAGAAGACTAGAAAAGAAATATACATGCTGAAGTCCATTTACATGCTGGAGACTCACTCTTAACCCAGGTGTTTGAGCCTTCCAGGTGTAATTCCCGTTTAGCATCGACCCTCTCACCTTGTCCACCATTTTTGCTGCGCCCAACAATATGCTGGTCTGCTCTTCCTCAACACCTGCCTGCATTTCCTCCAGGACCAGATGGCTCCTCCCCTTGCCACGGGCACGTCATGTCGAAGCTACTTCAGCCGATAGGTCTGGTATTTCCAAAGGGGACCTCTGGGGTCCCAGCCTGTGCTCTTGGTCGGGTTCTTCACTGGAGCAGTTAAGAAGACAACGCGTCCCTCCCAGACGCCACTTTGAGAAGCTGAAGGGTTAGCTCTCTTCCAGGCTCTGTGTCCTCCTGGGGCCTGGACTACAAAGCAGGATTTGGGGTTAGCGAGGTCACTTCAGGGTTAACTCTGGGTTTTCATGCGAAGGTCGTACACTTCTTATTTTTGCCTATCGCCACGGTAACCTTATGCTGCACACCTAACACCTGCTCCAGGTTATGTTGGAGATAAGAGACCAACCTGTGGAAGTCTCCGTCCACTGACCAATCAGATCTTTTGGTGTGTGTGTGTGTGTGTGTTGTTGATTGATTTTTTAAAATATTTCCTGTAAATAAATACATCATAATTATAATCCCTTTTTTTTAATAAACTTTTTTTTAAATAATAATTTTTATTAAGAAAAAAATCTTTATTTTAAATTTTCTGTTTTTTTTAGAAATCACAAGTATGAACATTTACGCCGGGAGAATCAGCGTCCAATCAGTCGACAGAGTTTCCCTTCGGCCACCACGCAGGAAGCAGCACACACAGGTGAGACTCAAACTACCGGTGTGATATGACACACTAGGATTGAATCAGTTTTTATGTAAAAAGGATAAATTCTCTTCTTTTTATGTTTGAACCTCCGACCACAAGAGGGCAGTGTTATGTTCTTTCTTCAGCTGATTGGGGGTTTCACTTCGTACATAACATGACCTGAGACAGGAAGTAAACACCTGATGTAAACAAAGACAACATGAAGTCACACAACAGAGAGACCTGAATTGTACTCTATTTACTAAATATAAATAAACAATAACATGATAATAAAATGATTTTATTTTCGTTGATATTTGAATTCTAAGTAAATCATATCATTTATAACCTCCTGACATTCGTCGCA